ACAATGAATAAAAATTATTATAGTGTCGCACGTTTTGGTTGCTGTAATTTAATTAAAATGATGTCGCGACGACCCGCATCAAGCCACCATGAGGGTTTTCCCGGAATTTCCCCCCTCACACACACACACACACACACAGGTGACAAATGTTGGACGGTTTGGAAACATAACTAATTTATAAATAAGGAAAAAATCCCAGCTGGAGGGCGGCAGACACCTAACAAAGGGATGCCCTCCCCGGCTCCGATGAAAAGTCAAACAAACCTCTTGAAGAGTCAAGACTTTTCCTCATTCACGTATTTGCAGAGTGTTTTGGCTGGAACGGAAGTGATGCCGCAAATACAGCTGGGTTCGTTGGGTTGGCCAATGGATTTGCTCGATAAACAAAATCGATCGATGGTCGAAAATCGCTTCTCCCAGACAGTAAATGGAAATGCATTCCGCAGGCAGATGGCTGAGGGAGGAGAGTGGAGTCGCAGTTGGAGTTGGAGGAACCTTTGCTGGTGGAAATACTTGTGCGGCTTCTGTGCGGAGAGAGAACGCTGGCTCTGGCTCTGGCTCTGAGCCTGTGAACCTGTTTGCTTTGGTGGCCTGAAACCATGAATGAACTGCAACTTGGACTTGCGACGGGCATTGTCACTGTCAATACGTGCGACTACGTATAGAAATGCACTCAAGGTAACTTCCTACTTGCCCCATATCGGATTTCAGCCTAACCTCTTTTGCACTGACAGATTACTGCACCCCCGAAGCCAGCTCCGAGCCGATTCGAACCGAACCGCGTACCGTACTGCTCCACGGCAGCAGCGGTTCCACGGCTTAACTGTCCAACGTTACACGTTATACGTTATATTTAGCGGTCAACTTGAGACAAGAAAAAACTGAACAGAAATAGCAAACAAAATGGCGAACCACCGCAGATGGAGTTCCCATCTGTTTGAGGTATGGGAATTTCCAATATTGATTGATTGAACAGCCGTCGTTTGTGGATCCACAACTGCCAGAACAGGGCCAGAAGGTAGTTAATGGATGGGGAAATATAAGGATATTGCAGGTAAAAGACTAAAACATCCCATGAGTTTCTATAAATGTAACCATTAAAACACGATTCTTTGCAGTTCCACAACTGTTCTACAACATCCACATCCTCGTAAGCTCCAGAGAATTGATATCCACATTTGGAATGGAAAAAGAGAATTTACAACCGCCAGTTGTGCAATGATTTTTTTACAGGATTCTTTCGCTCTGTCTATCGCTGGGCCCCTGGGGATCGGCTCCCAGATTGATGACAACATTTGTTGTGACACGCATTAACTAGTGGTTTCACACACACATTTCCCCTCCCCTCCTTAGACGGCCATCCCTCGCTCAATTAGCAGAGTCGTCCCCTCTGGCAGACGGAAACAAATTGTCGACACCTAAAAGCAGAAGAGGAGCAACAGAACCTCTCTCGAGGCCTCCTGAGGGGAGCGAGTGCATACGGGGGGGAATATTAATAAATATAATTAATTGTGTTAAGCAAACAACAATTTTTGTAGTAAATGATGGGAGAGCATTTCATAAACGCAGCTATATAGCTTTACTTCCCACAGGTTTTGTGTTTCCCCACTCTAAAAATTTTGGGTGTAATTCAAGTAGAAATCGCGGCCAAGAGGTGGAGTGCAGTAGTGGAGGACCGTTCTGAAGGAAGGTTCTTGGCTTTCGCCCGCCATGTTTGAATACGAGTCGCCAACATGTTTACATAAAACGTACTTGGTTTTCATTATTTTATAATTCAAATTAACAAAATTTCTGCTGATTTGCCCGAAATGCACCAGTCCAGTCGTTGCGCGGAATGTGCCGCTCTGGCTGGATGGCTGGATGGCAGATGGGTAATCGGATCACCGCTGTCTGGTCTGACGAGCTAATCCTCCGCATATGGCCTGTAGCTGACTATCTGGCGGGCCACAATGTTGAGTATTTCGCGGGCTGGCATGTCTTGCTGTTCCTCCACAATGGCCGTTATCCTGGCGCACTCTTTCACGTAGTTCTCCAGTTCCCGTTGGTTGAGGCTGCGCCGCGCTGGCTCCTTGGACTGGAGGGCCTGCAGGCACTGGCCCGTCATGTGTGCCAACTGTGAGCGTGCCCCACTGAAGGTCTCATCCAGATCGTACAGCTCCAGCGGTGGGGCTGGCGGCTCGCTGAAGATGGGCGGAAATGTGGCCAACTGGAGGTTGGGCAATGGGATCTCAAACTGCGGCTTGATGATCCTCAGCGGCTCGTATTTCACGTGCAGTTGCTCGTACGTATCGATGACATCCTTCAGCAGGCGGTTGCTCAGCGCGCACATCTCCATGTCGAACATTTGCTTGAAGTCCGTGGGCATTTCGGTGCCGATCGAGTCGATCAGACAGGCCTTGGGCATGTCCGCCAGGAAGGCCAGATCCGTAAAGTGTTTGTTGTCGCTGAGCTGCAGACGGAATCAAGAGTTAGCACTATGTGTACACTCCACACACAGCATTCTCCGCTCACCTCCACATCGTTAAAGTCCAAGTGCGTGTAGCTTATCCCATCTCCTCCCAAGAGCTTCAATATATACTCCAGCATGGCGTCATTCGTCTTGTCCTGTAAATACTTATCATGCCAGATGTAGCCGGAGCCAATGGCCAGGATCTTCCCGCCTTTGCCATTGGTATAGTAGCCCGCCAGTGGACGATTGAAGGGATACACCACGGGGCCTGTGGTGAGCAGGACATTGGCCGGCTCGGAGACATTCAGGGTGGCTCCGTAGGGATACTGAAAGTGTATCTTGTACTTCTCGTCGCTGAAGTCGTAGTCGACCTTCTCAATGTCCAGCTTGATGAGGTGCCGCCACATGGACTCGCAGACCACTCCACCACCCACAATGCACTCTTTGGGATGAAAATTCTTGTAGTAGTGCGGTCGCACCACATTGTCCCCGTTGATGTAGATCCCGTACTGCTCCAAAAAAAAATTCACGTTCGTGTTGAACTCCTGTTCGCCGCCCTCGCCAAGGAGAACCAACAGACTGCCTCCGTCCACCTCCACATAGTGTTTGAGCACTTCGAACTCATCCTCGGTGAAGCGATCCTGGGGGCCAGCCAGGACGAATATCTTGGCACGCGAAAGGTGCCCTTTTTGCAGTTCGGCATCGCTTCTAAGGGTGTTCAATATTGTTTGTTTACCATTCAAATTCGAATCTTTTGCCTTTATACTGACTGTTCCACGTTCCAGTTGGCCTTCAGCTTGCGGTGAAGCATTTTATAGTTGTCCGATATTTGAAATCGCTCATTTTTGGATGTATCAAAGCAGATAATGGGTTTATTGGACATCTTTACTCTCAGATTATAATAAATTTCCTTTTGCTTGTTTTGCTTTGTTTTGCATTTTTCCGTTGCCCGGACAACTGTGCGCCACCTAGCGGTTCAAGTGGCAGCACAGTTTCCTGCCAGTCTGGTAACCTCTGAACACTGTGGAACGTTTCACAACACCTGCCATCGCGGTACTGCTGCACACTGTCCTTAAATCTCGCTGTGTGAAAAATTACGAAAGAATTTTTGGTGTTCAATTTTTAGGAACCACAAATTTTCGCGAAACGAACTATGGCATCGATCTGTGGACGCATGGCGCTTCGTGCCGCTGCACGCCAAAATGTTACATACGCGCCCGTGCGTTTTTGCAAAAGTAAGTGCAGAAATCAAACCGAAATCCCCTGCGCTGCCGTCACGTCCGCCCGTCGTGGTGTGTAGATTTTGGTGTGAAGGCACTTCTGCGTCCGAGTTTCATGGCTAGGATTGCATAATATGACAACCAATGCAATGCCAGAACACAGTCTGCGGCAGCCCCCTGCATCTGGAGCAGCAGTTTTTGGCAATTGAAAATGCGCCTGCTTCGGTGGGGAGGTTATGTAATAACTATGCGCAGGGAAATGTGTTTTATGTACACACACGGTGGGGGGAAAGACGAGACGGCAACGGAACGGCAGCGATACGCAGTTCGCACCTCAACTCTGCACTGTAACTCTATCGGGGGCTAAGCTAATGACATTTAATAGTTAGCCGATGACACAGCCGCAGAGGTTCGGGCGTTTGCCGTTTATGTAACCTCGGGCCGGATCGCTGCTGCACAGCTGATCCGAGTCGCAGACGAAGAAGCTTATCAATCGAGGACACAATCAGTTAATTGCCATTCCATTTCCAATTGCAGTGATGAACGACCCCTTGGAGCATGCCACGGGTATCGAGAAGCGTGAGCTGCTCGCCAAAGCCGCCGGCAATGAGAATCCCTTCGACATGAAGGTGTTCAAGCGCGGTGCTGGCACCAAGGAGAACCCCAACTTGATTCCATCGGCCTTCGATGCCAGAATTGTTGGCTGCATCTGTGAGTAAATGCCATCCCGAAACAAGGAAACCCGTACTAACTTTATTTCAACTTTATTTTGCAGGCGAAGAGGATCAGACATACGTGCAATGGATGTGGCTGCAGAAGGGCAACCAGAAGCGTTGCGAGTGCGGCCATTGGTTCAAGCTGGTGGAGAAGGCAGCTGTTTAAAGTTATTATTAATTAATTAAATAAACCAATTAATAACAAGAACACACCACACAACAACTACTAAGCTAAAAGTCAACCAACACCTTAGCTGTCCAAATAAAAACAGACATCAAATCCAGAAAAAACAACCAAATAACCAACCTCGGCGGTGATCAAGGGGGCAGGCAGCAGCTCTTCCCGTTTTCAGTTTTAAATCTTTCATTTCCACCGCAGTCAACGTTAATCCAAGGAGCGATGCTTAAGTATATATCAGATAAACGAACAATAAAGGCAACAAAGTGATTTTGAGCGAAAGTAAATCGGAAATGAGTCTCAATGAAGCGATGAAAAAATTTTAGATCCCAGTAGGCCCTACTTTACAACCAAACGAATGTGTCCTATCGACTGTTTAGAATCATTCCATTCGAAACTGTGAAACAGACAGCTTTCTTTCCCAAGCAAAACAAAAAAAAATTATTTTTGAGATATTCCGTGAGTAAATTGCTATTTTCGTCAGAATGTCATCGTATTTGGCACGTCTGTTGAAGGCTCAGACCGCCTCCAAACGACTCGTCTCGCAATTGGTGCAGCGCAAGGGAAAACTCAGTTCCCTGCTGCAGCGCGTGGGACTGAAGAAGTGGACGGATACCGCCGCCGCACGAGCAATCTCCACAACTCCAGTACTAAAGGCGGGTAAGTGGAACCTGCTGGTGCAGCCTGAGATAAAAGAACAACAGAGCTCAAGCCACAACCCACCCGTCAGAAATGGCCGATGACATGGAACTGGCCACCGGTATCGCTAAGCGTGAGATGCAGCTGAAGGAGCAGGGCTGCGGTGATCCCTGGGGTCTAGGCAAGATTCTAAAGCGGGGCTCTGGCAGGCTGAACGATCCTACCGAGATACCCTCGGCATTTGATGGTCGCCTCGTCGGCTGCCTGTGCCTGGACGACCGTTTCGCCAAGTGGATGTGGCTAGAGGAGGGACCACCGAAGCGTTGCGAATGCGGGCACTACTTTGTGCTGAAGAAAGTGCCACCCGTTTAGTGAGAAACAACCAACCACACAACACATTCCAACGCACACTCTGAACACCGTCTGCTATTCAGCGTACACAGGTCCTTTCTCCCATTTAACTTTACACGGGTCCACGCACACACCGAGCATTGTAAACCATTGATAAAACATGATATTATCAAAAACAAATGCTTACATGTATATTTCGTCTGCCGCATAACTCTCTACTTTACTTTAGGGTAAAGCCCGTCAGGAGGTAGCCGCTATTGCCACTCATATTCACCTCCGGATGCGTGCGATTCGGAAGTATTTGATAGGTGCGCAACCAATTCGAGGTCACGTGCAGAGCGGTGACCTTACCGGAGGTCTTTAGCTCCATGTAGGTTTCCTGCAGCAGCTCCTTGCAGGTGCTGAAGACAACAACGGGTCGCGAGGGCCTCACAAGGGGCAGGAGGGCCTGCAGTATGCTTGATGGATGCTCTTTAGCTGCCACCACCAGGCTGTCGAACTTTCCGTGCATCAGCGCGGACGCTCGTTTGTTCTCTATCTGCCACCGCAGGGGGCCTTTGTTATTGCCTGCAAACGGTAGATAAATGAGAAATCAGTCGGTGCATGGAAAACATTAACTCCCTCACCACTTAGAGGAGCTTCGTCTAGCTTGGGCTTCTTTGTGCTCGGTTCAACGGCCTCCGGCTGCTCCTCGTTGGGCGTCTCTGGCAGCGTTTCCTCCGCCTCGACTTCAGTGGGATCTATAGAGGGGGCGACATTTCCCTGATAGAACTCCCTCAGCACCGAATATAGATTCACAGACACGCAACGTTTCTGCTGTTCGAGCGGTAGTTTCAGAGCGAGCAGTGCCTGTTTCTGGGGCACATTCCCGGGATGCATGTGCACCAAGGTGCCCTCAGTGCCGGCGCCAATGGAGTTCATCATGGCCGCCGGGAGCAGCCCATTGGTGCCGCTCTCGTACAGCAAATAGCTGCCAAAGCCGCAGACTCCAGAGTAGGAAATGATTTGGGAGAGCGTGTCCACGCGTATACCCATGATTTTCTCCGCATCCTGTCGATAGAATATGTCAACCATCAGCCGTATCGTCGGCTGTCGTATCTGGACAAATTCAAAGTACTTTTTCTCCTTTTTCAGGAGGTACTTCTCCTGGGAGTACTCAGTGCGGGTGTGGAAAGTCTTAGAGTTTTCTACGAGCTTCTCAATGATTTTGCTCGACTCATTGCAGGCCTCGCGCAGCTGTTCAATGTCTGAGGATTTCAGGGCCTGCGCCTCCCCATTGTCGCATATATCACGATTGTCGGCTCCACTGCTGGAGATGCCCAGAACCTCGCGCGTGCTTCTCAGCTCCGTGTCGCTGCACAGCTCCAGGGTGTGCTGGCGTTGGGCGCCACGCTTTCCTGTTTTTGTTTCCTTAACGCACATCTTGAACGTGGAGCCGTATGGCTGATCCAGCAGAGACTTCAGCTCGAGCGTCTCCTTGCCCAATGTGGACGTCGTGTCTAAGCTGCCGAATTTCTGCAGCTTTGTGTACTTTTGGCGCTGTATGACTATGTAGTCGCCCAGCTGAATGTTGGGTGTAGTCCCATCGGTGCTCATTGTCGCCGTTTTCTTTAATAATTATAATAAACAACGTGCTTTATCGCACAAATAAAACGCCGCCGCGCGAAGAGGAAGACTAGTCTAGTGCTGCAAAGCTGCCAACTACAGTTACTATCGATAGTGCCATCGATGGTTTGACACCTGTAGTTGGCGATAGTGGCGCCACTTGATAGTATCACCACTAACCATACAGTATATATACAGTATATACTATCAAGTGGCGCCACTATCGCCACTACTGCCAGAGTGGCGCTGGGCTTGGGAAAATATCGAAATGATTTTAATGCGATGGATATTTTGAATAACATTCCAGCCAGACTTCCTCTAAAACTTTAGATCCCAGTCTGGTCCTGCATCCAAAAAACTTCTTTTAGACTCAGAAGAAGATGCTTAATGACATATCGATCGATAGCCAAACACTGTTTTTTTTCCTAATTCTAGTTCCTTGCCACCTGTTGCAGCAGTGTTGCGTTACATAGAAAACTGTTTTATTTGTATTGAAAATAGAGTGTTTTTTTATTATTCACTGATGTGGCAGCTCCATTGTAGTTCCATTCCGATCGATTCCGATGTTCTAATACATTGCGATTACAAGAAACGCGTGCCTACAGCGGGTAGCACGTAACCTTTGAGACTGCAATCTGTTTTGTAATCGCGGAAATCAGGTACAGATAGTTGCGAAGGCATTGCGATTGCCGCCCAAGATTGGACCACGTGACGAGAAATCTCATAACCGGACACCAGTCGACAAGCAGGCGCAGATTCCAGAGGGGAAAAGGGAAAATCAAACCTTCCCGCTCTTCTACTGGCTTGGCGTCCCTCACTACACAACAAAATACTGACCCTGCAAGTTTTTGTGCTTGGGTATACGCCCCAATAATTGCCATCGCCCGCATAACAAGAGCCGCGTCGAGCAGAACAGAACAGAAGCCACGCAGCAATGGCCGAAGGAAAATCTGAGAAACTGCCTTTTATTGGCAAGCAGGCGCCAAAGCCCGTGACACTAAATCCGTCGTGGGAGTCCGAACTGCCGCCGGCGGATTCGAATGGGAAGGGCTCGGTGCTGGCCAAGCTGGGTCTGCCGCCCAAGGATAGATACAAGATTGTTTTCTTTATCTTTATGCTGCACGGACTGGGCACACTGATGCCCTGGAACATGTTCATTACAGCCAAGTCCTACTTCGAGGACTTCAAGCTGGGCGCAAACAACACGGTACCCACGGAGGTAAACTACAGAAGTACCTTCATGCAGAATATGGGCTTTGCCTCGCAGATTCCCAATCTCCTCTTCAACTGGCTGAACATCTTCGTCAACTTTGGCGGGAACCTGACCAGCAGGATAGTGTACAGCATCATCTTTGAGGTTGTCATCCTGCTGGTAACCATTGTCCTGGCTATGATGGATTCGTCTCAGTGGCCGGGCATATTCTTCTGGGCCACCATGGTAAGCATTGTGCTGCTGAACATCTGCAATGGTATCTACCAGAACACCATCTACGGCATCGTTGCATCGCTACCCATCAAGTACACGGGAGCCGTGGTCCTGGGATCCAACATTAGTGGGGTCTTCACCACCGTGATGTCCATCATTTGCACCGCATTCTTCGACTCGAAGAGGACATCGGCCATCTATTATTTTGTAACAGCGATTGTGATTCTCCTTCTGTGCTTCGACACCTATTTCGCGTTGCCGGTGAACAAATTCTTTAGGCACTACGATCAGATCTGCCAGAGCAATGAGAAAAAGTCCGACTCGAGGGCGGAACTAAATGTTCCCTACTGGCAGATCTTTAAGAAGGCATCGCCCCAGCTCTTCAACATCTTTCTGACGTTCTTTGTGACTCTCTCCGTCTTCCCGGCCATCCACGCGAACATTAAAGCCTCGGACGAGGACTTTTTCATCTCCAAGGACTACTTCACCTTGTTCACTTGTTTCCTCACATTCAACGTGTTCGCCATGCTGGGCAGCCTGACCACCTCGTGGGTGCAATGGCCCGGTCCGAAGTTCCTAGTGGTTCCTGTGGCTCTGCGCCTGGTGTTCATTCCCCTGTTCATCATGTGCAACTATATACCACCAGATATGACCAGGACCCTCGAAGTCTACTTCCCCAATGAGTGGGTCTATTGGGGCATTGCCGTCGTAATGTCCTACAGCTCGGGTTACTTGAGTTCGTTGGGCATGATGTATGCCCCGCAGACGGTTCATGCAAAGTATCAAACAACCGCTGGAATGTATGCAGCTGCAATGCTGATTACGGGCATTTTCTCGGGGGTCATGTTCTCGTATCTGGGTCCGCTGTTCTTATAACCTCGGTCATAGCTTCAATACATAGCATGCTGACATATACTAAAATGATCTTGTTAAATTCGTATCATATATTATTGACCTTCATTGAATTTATTTTCGTTGTGACTACTCATTTTATACTAACTTCATTGAATAATAAAGATTTGTACTGGTTATTTACAAAACAGATGCTGCATTTATACACGCAAATAGATTTGTGTTTCATTCTTAAAGATTACAACAAAAAAAAAACTTATTTACATGCAAATTATCGCAGAGAAGAACGAGAAGAATACATATGCATGCATTCCTATTTTTAGCGATTCGCGCAGTATGTCCTAATTGGATACAATGCATGAATGTATACATAGTATATATTCGTCTGTACCAATTAGTGGAAAGGTCTGACGAGTCAACGAAATACTGACTTTCACAGCTTCATCTGACAGAGTTCCTCCGCACATCACAACAATCCCAACTAACAAAGGCGCCGTAAACATAAAAAACACAACCTAAATAAACAAACCTTATCAATAGAGAGAAACAATTAGGCGGGGAAATTGCCGGCACGGCACAGTAGTCAGTAGTAGTCATATGTACTCCTATCAAGGGGGCTCATCGTGTGAGTGAAATGTATCTGTTAGCATGGGCAAACATCTAAACAATCTCAAGGGGGCGTCGTCTTATCGCTCCCCAATGAATTGGACAAGTAATACATAATTATCAACATATCTGGGATGGCGCTTCTCGAGCTGCCGCTATCTCCTCGAGGGTCACACTCCACAACCACTAAATTATACACTATCGATTGCAGTAGCTTGGGAAATTCGCCGGAATACGAAATATGGCGGATCTAGATAGTCCATACTCTACCCACAATCCCAATCCCGTACCACCTACGTGTCAATGGGATGAATGACACTCCGTTAGTGTGTCTTTTAACAGTGTGCCGTCTTAGCGAGGTATAAGACTTAAAACATACTAATCCGAGGGACACGCGCTATTGCGCTGCCTGCTACCAAGGACTATACAATACCAAGATGTTGCAAACATTTCTTTTTTTTCAGCGTTTAAAACTAGGCACATTCATTTTTGTGCTGCTGCTACAACCAGGCACTAGTTTGTTAATAATCAAAATTAATTAATCTAAAATTATACTGCCGAGCTCCGCCTATTATTGATAAAAGGTATACGTGCTGATTATTCAGTATGGGGAATACAAAATTAGTTTTTAGGTATGTTGGTTTTAAGAAGAATGTTAAGAATGGGTTTAAAACGAAAAGGAGCTCCCCACAATTTAACCAACCGTTCAGGGTGATTGGCGAATGATTGGGCAAAGAAAGATCCGGAGAACCCATTTCTTTCAATCGGTAGACTAGTCCCAGTTTTTCTTTCTCCTCGTGGTGTTTCGAGAACTAAATTGTGGTCCCAGAAAATAAATGTGAGTAAACGTGTTCATAGCCAAGGTGTGGGATTAATACCTAATACCTAATCTGGAACCGTTGGCCAACAGGACCGAATATGTATGTACATTGATGCTTCCGCAAATCCCTGGAGAAAGAAAGACGAAGTAAATATTGCGGCATAATTTTCCATTTTCAGTTAACTAAAAAAATGTATCTACGTTGCTTTTTAGTTATTACTATATGCTCTATTACTTATGTACTTATGTATTTGTAATTATTTATATTTATATTATCTATTTGTATGGTTATTTGTAGTATATTCGGTCAATTTAATTTTGATTTGAGGGTTCTTAATAGTATTGGAAAGTAATAATAATTCTCTAATAATTTCCAGTGTACCGTGTCCCTATGCAGTACGCGAAACTAATATGTATAATAGTAACACTAGGAGCGAAGCAAATAACTGAATACCCCGAGGAGCTCATACACATATTCGACCAGAGACAAGCCGTAGAAGCAAGAGCGTACTCCTTCACAATTCCAAAATGTTTTAGTAACAAATACCGTCTTTAGCGACGCCTAACAAACCTTCTAGGCCTTCTAGAATGGGAAAAACAACTACATTTCTTAGGCATGATTCAGCACATTGATGATTGAGAACACACATATACATATATGTACACAACTACATGCATATTTCTGAGTTTTGTCCGAACAAAAATTTAAATTAAATTTTTTCTGATGCAACATCTTGGTATTGCATAGTCTGTGCTGCAAAGTTGCTGCACAATTCCAAAATGTTTTAGCAACAAATTCCGTCTTTATCGACGCCTAACGAACCTTCTAGGCCTTCTAGAATGGGAAAAACAACTACATTTCTTGGGCATGATTCAGCACATTGATGATTGAGAACACACATATACATATATGTACACAACTACATGCATATTTCTGAGTTTTGTCCGAACAAAAATTTAAATTACATTTTTTCTGATGCAATATCTTGGTATTGCATAGTCTTTGCTGCGATTAAAAAAAAAGGGTTAGTAGGTAGCAAGAGGCAACACAGAAGACTTACCAGTGGGGGGCCGCCCCGGTCCCTGGGACGGCCCCTCTTTGCTCCAACAATCCAGATGCATGCCCGCCGGAGAGAGGTGAAAAGACCACATTGCTGCTTCAGAATACATATACACTATATGCGTATTTCTGGGTTTTGGTCGAACGAAAATTGAAATTAAATTTGTTTCTAATGCAATATCTTGATATTGCAGTTAAAAAAAAAAAATGGTTAGAAGGTAGGCCTTACCAGTTGCGGGCCGGCACAGGTTCTAGGACGCGCCTTCTTTGCTCGAACAATCCGGATGAATGCTCGCTGGAGGGACGTGAGAAGAGAATTTTTTTGCTTTTTTCCCTTCCATTCTCACCTTGTGTGTAAAAAAAATCACCACAAAATAAAAAACAAATATTTTAGAAAAAAAATACATCAGCTGGTCCACCTATTGAGGGTACTATGGATAGTATCGATGTTTTAACTCATTCCATTCAAAACTATCGAGTGGCGCCACTATCACCCTCAGCTCTGAAATCATAATTTTATCCATTTATTAAATCAATTTCGTACAAGACTGGTTAAATTAAAGTTTTCATCTTTAATGCATTGCTTATAAAATATATAAAATAAAGTTTAAGCAGTGTGCAAAAATTTCCACTAAATGTATTTCTTGAAATGGTAACTACACGCCAACTACACATTTGCTACATTTTAAGTACATGCTAATGTATTTAGCGGGTTGGCTAATATGCATGAATTCTTATTGAAGTTCTTTATTATTAATTATAATTATAATTAACTACAAAATTTGCAAATCGTCGAAGTCTAAGATCAAGTGGCCGGTGTTGCCACACTAGCGAACGCCTCTAAGATCAGTGTTGCTGAGGGGCTGCGATCCGGGCTGCCACATGTAATTACCAAAGGCGACACCTGAAGGGGAAATGTGTACGTTTCAAAAATTGTTTACCCTTTTTTTCCAGTGCGAAAAACCTCCAAATTATGCTGTGGATGGGCAAGAACTGGCGTACACATCTGATCTGATCCTTCATCTGAAAAAGCATTCTGCGCTCTAGAACTTGCAAGCTACCGTGTGGTAGCGTCTCCTCTTGGCGGGAGACCAGCGTGGCCGCCATTTTACATACAGATCTGCGTGGCATCTGATGCTGCTGGTGGAGCAGATTCCGCACTAGAGTCCTGCGTAGCTGATGCTCTTTCTGCTGGTCGCAGATCACACACCGTCGAGGAAGATTGGAGTAACCACACAATACAAGAGAAATTAAAAGAATTTCCTTTTGCTTTTATGTTTTTATTTGACGTTTCGATTCCAACTCCATTTGTCAGTCCGGCTAGACCCCGATGAATGTCTCCATCAAAACTAAGAAATTTTTCCGATCATAGGAAGCCATGGCACGTATGGCATTTTTAACGTTTAATCGCTATAATATCCTTGATCGTTTGATACCAGGTGTTACAACGAGTGTTCTAATAATAAATAAAATAATAAAGAACATAACTTTTTAGGGAATTTATTGCCAAAAAGGTGCCCAAACTTCTACCAAAATTGAGAGAAAGACTGAAAGAAGCCTGAGCAGCGTTCTCCTCTCCGTCGACGTTCTTCTTTCTTTGACGGACCTCTGACGAGTGGTGCCACTGGGATTCAACTTGCTTCCAATTTAGTTACCACCAGAAATGTGCCCAACGAATACTTCGCCAACATGTCCGTGTCATTGGAATCACAAACTGCTTTTTTTGTTTTGATTAAAGCTTGGAATGGTCGAGGACGTGCGATGGAGTGTTTTATCGAAGAGTGTGTGCTCCCTCCTAGCCACTCCCAGACCAGGGTGAGAGCTAGTCCGATCCTAGAAGCCACCTGTGGGAAGAGGAGGATAAGCGTAGATGAATACGGGATGCAGATACAGATACAGGTAGATTTCCATGCCTAAGGCGGACGAGAACTCACATGGATAGGTTAGCGGGGTGTTCCAATAGTTCCAGACCCGTGGATCGGGTATGCCACCCTCGGGCAATGGGGGACAGCAACAGCCCGGCGCCGGAGAGCATGGAACGGGCGAGGGAGCTCCGCATGGTGGGCTGTGCGGGCCACAGCACGGACAGGTAGTTCCACAGGGACCGCATGGTCCACAGGGTCCACAAGGGTAGCACATTTTCAATCCGTAAAATTTCTGGAATATATTAAAAAAAAAAAACTTTAATTTTTGTAATTTTGTAAGAAAAGTCAAAGTTGTCACGACACTGAAACCCGAAAACCAAACCAAAGCTCTAAATTAAACAAAATTTTTTGTTCTGTGCTAGTCGGAGTGTTAGGAGAAACTGAAAATATAAAGCAATAGAAAATTATATAAGATTTTGGCAGCTACATATTGTATTCCTAGGGTAATGTGATTGGCAAAACATATAATATACATAATCGAAATAATTGCATCTAGTCATCTGTGAAAATATTGTAGTATTCATTTAAGCTCTCAAGGCTTAAAAGGGAGTTTAGAACAAAAAAAAAACCGATTGCCTTTAATTGTTGTTGGTATGCTTTGCTAACAACAGTTAATTATTTAACAATTACAATCTAATGGGAACTTTTTAGACTGTAATAGGCGCTTGTCGCACTGGGGATCAAACTTTTTCTTCACCGCCTATTTGTGCTAATACCCGAACGTCTTGGCAAGTTGTCATTAGCCATGACAAGTACTGATCGGATCTCAAATTACGGGGAAAACAAAAAACAAAACTGGCTATTTAATGAACTTATTCTCCGTTCTGGCTAAAACCATTTAAAAGTCATGTAGAAATGCCATTTAGAGGATTGTCCCAGCATCCCAGCATTGTCAGCATCAATTGAGGATTGATTAAGATTAAAAAATCAATTACACAAAAAATTTCCCAAGAATAAACTTGTAGAAAAGGTTAATTTTTCATACTTAAGCTGTGGTAGTTGTAGTCTGTACGCAGTTGATACCACTAAGCAAATAACACAGGAAAGGAAGATCAGGAAAACCCACACTAAGTCTAGAGTTCGGTCAGACCAATCATGCGCTCAGACATTGCAGCTAGAGTGTGCTGTTTCAGATTATCTAAGTAAACATAATGACTGTCGCGGCTTACATTCTTAAAACGATCTTAGACGAATGAAATTTTACACATAGCTCCAGAGCCGTCCTCCTTCATTAAAGGGATTTTCGACTTAGACACGCCATTTAAAACCAATAAAACCACAAAAATGTTTTGAAAATAAAAGGAATTGATGATTGGCAGTTTCTTATCTTTCGTTAGAAATTAAAAGTCTATCTAAAACAGGAACCCTACTTAAGATAGCTCACAGCAGCCTTGCACTCAGAGTCTTCGCAAATGTCGCAGAGGTTCGAGACTATTTGATAATATTCGGTGGCCTTCTTGTTCGTATCATAATAGTCGTAGAGGACAACGGGAGCGGGTTTCTGGTTGGCCACCGCATGGGTTCTAAAAGCGTCGAAGGGTATGCATTTGAGTTCACCCCTCAGCAGATTCTCGAAGTAGACAACAATCACAGAATCGCCGTTTTTGGTTTCCACCAACTGCAAAGGGAACGAAACAATTTAGGTCATAGGCGATCTATCAGAATGGAATGAATGACGAACTACTTACCCTGACACGCTCAATGTCTTTTATGTCCTTGAAGCTGTCTTCATCGGCGGTATACCCAGACGGCAAGGATACCTCTAGTATGGCCATGTTGGAGGCATTCGCTTTGCCCTCCTCCACGTACTCCACACACACGCTCAGTTCCAGCTTGGCTGGCGAGGATTCTGGCTTGACAATTGTTTGTATTTTAAAGCTGGGCTTTGTTTCCTTCTCTACTACATTGTATTGATAGCTAATCTGAATCAGAGCTGCTCCTGTGCCCTTAGCCTCGAACTCCAGTGACTGGGTACCCTGTGGAAACTCGACAGTCTGCAGCACCAGATCGTTTTCCTCCGTGGCGCTCAGTTTCTCGGTCTTCTCTCGCTTTCCCTTGTTAGAGACACTCACCTCCCACTTGGCTGCTTCATAGCCCGACTTCTCAGCGAACTTGATCAGGGCTTGCAGACCTACAACTGTGTCCTGGCTGGAGGCAAACCCTCCAAAACTATTGCGCTGCGCCACTAGCCAGCGGATAGTGTTCAAAACCGAGTCCGGTGTCTCCTGCTCTGTTTCCAGCAGTGTGAGCAGCGCATAGGAAGTGATCTCCACGTCGTGGCTCCACACCCAACACCACCAACGGCGGCAGCCCTTGGAAGCCCGCAGCTTCTCTGTGTCCTCCGTCCACCATGTGCGGTCGTCTTCCTGCTGTGCTAGGGCTTTGAGGCTTGCCACATGTTTAGCGGCGTCTGGAGCCTTTGATTTTTGCAAGGCATAGACGGCTATAGATTTGGGCAGCAATTCCTCAGACTCCTCTGTGTGGGCACTCAGATAGGACACGGCCTTGTCTATGGCTGTCTGGTTCTTCTTGTCTTGCTCGAGTAGTGCCAGCAGGGCGTTGGCTGTAAGAGTCAGTGAAGAGCGCAGCGATCCGTAGAAGTATTCTCCTGCGTCGGTGAAGCTGCCATTCTCTGCCTGACGGCTCAGAAGGAATTTGTATGCACTGGTAAACAAATTCTCATTCAAATAAATGATATCTTTGATATTACGGAAAGATCGCAAGACATAAGATGTCAGCCAGGTAGAGCCATTGCGGTCAGGGTCTTCCTCTCTCCATTTGCCTGGGCCGAAGGAACTGAAGCTCCCATCATCGTGACGATAGTGCAGCATATTCTGATAGCCTTCTTGTAAGTTTCTCTTGATGCGTGTTTCAATGGCAGGAGTTAGTTTCTTGATGCTCTTCAGGTAGTCTCTTACCAAATAGTTGGGAACCAATTTAGACATAGTCTGCTCGCCACAGCCGCTGGGCAATCTCAGGAGATTCTCTAGGTTTTTGATCACTGGGCCGAGCAGATCGCCTACAAGTCCGAATTCCACTCGCTGCGAATCTGGAACAATGTCCTCCGGCACTTCCAGTTCAAAGGTGTTTTTATACTCTCCAACATCCTTGAGATTGACGAAGAAGGCTCGATTCTGATATTTTGTGATTCCTTCTGGGATTACCTTAAGCGACTTGTGGACAGCATCGCCTGCCAAAGGAGAGATGGCTGAAAACTTTAGCAGAATATTGCCAATGACCTTCGGACGAATCAGGAATGATGCACCGGCTGCCTCATTGGCTCCCACACGGATGACCTGAGTGAGATTCTGTCCTTGATTGGATGCATCTGCGAAATCGAATTTCGCATCTGGATTGTCCAGTGTGACCTCCATATCGAACTCTTGGGGAACATAGTTGTCGACAATCACTGGCACCCTGATCCATTCTCCAAGTTTCATTGAGTGGGGCAGGCGTACGGAGATGAAGTACGGGATAGATGTCGAGATCACTGTCATTTTGCTATTTGGGGGGACACACAGTCCCTTCTCGGGATGTAAGGAAAAGCCATTTATTACCCATCTGCCCAATGCGTCCGGCAGCGTATGGCTCAACTTTGAGACAGCCGTCTCCGTTCTTTCAATGTCCGTAAAGAACCAGGACTCTGCAGAGTTCCAAGAAAAGCCGAATGCATTAAAGGTTCTTTTTGGTATACCAGAGGCAGGGGGTACCGAAGTGTTCGTGGGATAAGCGCTGTCTGATAAGTAAATGTTAAAAAAAATATGATTATTAATATTTTTGGGAACTTTACAGCGACTTAATAAATATTAACCTGAATTGATGGCTCGATAACCGCTTTTTGACGAAAAATTGGCATTGGTCATAGTGACCAAGCCAGAACTTGATCCGGGGCAGTGACAGTACGTTCTCGAATTAAATTGGTCCAAGCGCCAATCTAGATCGCTGTGTGGCATTTCATTACGTATTTTATTACTTTGAATCAACCTCTCATCAACAGCAAAGAGACCAACGAACGAGGTGGGCTCCGTAGTGATTTCCACATCGACTTTGTCTCCGGGTTTGCCAGCCAATGGCGCAGAAATGACAAGTTCGTTTGAGAAACTCACAAGTACCAGGTAGTTTGTCTCAGTGTAATATAAAACACCGTCTTCGCTTATGTAGTATGCGTATATATATACTCTGGGGGAGTTCAGGAAAGTGGTTTTCACGGTGAAGTTATGCGCCGTTTTGGGCTGCACGAGATCGATGCGTTTGGTGTGCAGGATGTTTCCGCGGCCAATAATTGTGTATATGTAGTATTTAAAAGGGACAATGGAGCTTAGTGTCACCTCGAACTCATCTCCGACTCGCAGACCCACAAGCGCTCCTTTGCTGTCCCTGGGTCCGTGTACATAAAGGGAGAACCGTTGTGTCTTTCTCCACGCAATATTTTTACCCAGTTTAAACCCACCACCCCATAAGTTAACTGGAAACGCTTGCCTGAGTTCATACTGCTCACCGGCATATAACAAAGTAAGGTCATAGGGCCAAAAACGCATCTTATTTGGAAACCCTGGTAGAGTTACCTTAAAAACAACCAGGCCAGACGTATTTAAATGGCCATCGAAGATGAAGGTTCTGTTTTTGTTCTCGGACAGACGGTTATAGACACCGAAAAAGTCCTGTTTTCCCTCTGAATACTTGAGCTGTAAAGAAAAATCAAATTAGCTCCAGATAAATGCTAGCTATTGGTCCTAAGAACATACCTTCACCACTGAATCAGTGTCAGTTGGCAGGGTGCCGTCTAATTTGGTTATGCTGATGATCACCTCCTTTTCCTTATCTTTCGAATATGTATAGCACTCATGCATATCCACACAGGATACCAGATAGCGATTAAGAACTAATTTGAATTCTCCAGTTTCCGTGATCTTTTTTCCCGTAAGATGGTCCTCCACCGATGCGTTAATTGCAACCAAATACTTGGAATTTTGTTTGGTTACCCAACTGGCAAACTGATTAAGGTTAATATCAAACGTGGCCTTTCCTTTGACCATGTCTTGCGCTACCATTACTGTGTGATTGGTAAGTTTTTTCACACTTTCATCAGAAAATAGTTCAATATTTACTACAACCTTTCCCTTTACACGAGTGCCGTAGCTGTACCTTGAGAGAGGAGAAGGAAAAGCATAAGATCAAGAGACCCGCATTCCTACCAAGTAGATAGTAGACAGTACTCACTTTGCTAATACAAATATCTGCACAACACCATCCTTGACGGATACGAGCTTCGGAGCATCTATCCTCACTAAGTACTTGGGCTCAACATACCGCTCCACGTTAAAGAAGGTGAATGTATAGACATCGGATCTATATGGTTCCCCGTCAGTGTCCTCGAAATCAATTGTCCATTCGCCCAGACTGGCAAGCTTGGATAGATGGAATTTTCCCGTATACACCCCGGTTGTCGTCCTTGCTGGCCTAGCTTTATCGATGTAAAAATCCGTTGGATCCCTCAGACAGACTACAATGTCCTCGGCTTTCAGATTCGGTCGCAGCTGTTCATCCAAGATCATTACGCGATAATTGACAGTATCGCCGGGTTTGTATTCAAACTTATCAATGTGCAGAAATAACATTGGATCTGGTGAGTCCCAAATTAGACGCACTGAATCTTTAAACACCAAGCCCGATACGCCCTCACCCGTCAGATCGTAGTCACCTGGCTGTAGGGAGGGCAATTCAAAGGAGAGCTGCTTGAAGACGTTAGACTTGGTGAACTCGACAGTTCGGGTCTCATTATGTGATGGTCCAGTAATCCCGATCTTCACTGTTACCGGTTCCTTAGTATAGTGCACTGCAATGGCCACATTGTAGTCGCGGTGAGATTTAATGCTGCCAGGGCCAACAACGGTGTATTTGCTGGCAAAGGAATCATTCAAGGGAACTATTAGTTTAGCTATTAGGCTATTAGGCTTCAACTGAAACCAAATACGATACAAGACTAAGACATTGCATCTGAAGCGTCATGCCCAAGCGACCAAAGACTGTGTATGTAGTGATAGGGAAAGAGTTGTGTGGACAATTCATAGTTTTGTAGGACTTACACTTCGGCTGTTACTTGTCCCACCACATGCAGAAGCGTCAAAATTGCACCAACGGTCACAGTAAATGAGTCCGTCAACAGCATTTTCATTAAAACATAATCAAATATATAATATGTATATGTGTCTCTTTAGTTATGCTTTAAATTGTATAAAAACCCGGCAACCGATGACACTTGCAGCATAGCTGTGACTGGTACGTCGTCTCACGATCATCAATGAATCGACCATACCATCCTGTTGCATTTACTTGAACCAGTCGTTCCTGTTCTTCTTGTTTATAATGAAGAAGAATACACATACAAATGCAGTAATTTCTAGCTCTTTCTAGCTTGCATTCATGAAAGGACACAGATCGGAAAGAAATTCAAACTAGACCTAGACCCATGTAGATTCTGCAAGTCAGGAAACATGGAAAAAAAATCTATGCGGATTCCCTGGACTCTATAGAAAGAGATCACAACATTTTCAACTATGCCCCCGCCCAGGATTTACGCAATAAGATCAACCAAAGTACTTAACTTCATTAAAAGCAATCCAGTAGAAACCAGTTGGTCGGTCGAAAAGATCATCGTGTATCGAAGTGCAATAATTATGATTAATGTTGCTTATACAATATACGAGTAGTCCTGCACTGAGTCTATCCTCTTTCCATTTAATGACAAATATTGCTAGCTTCTGTATCTCGCTCACTCCGCCAGGGAGCGCCACTGCACATTTTGTTACTCTAACTTTTATAGTCTCTGAGAATTGGGCATTAAACAAGATGGACGGATGGACAGACAGACAGAAATGTATACCTAATGGCGTCGGGAAACGCTTCCATCTGGCTGCTACATATGTGCTACTACACGAATCGAATACTCATACCCCTCTACTCTTCGAGTACACGGTATACAAAATAATGTATAAATAAGCGCATGCATTACGTCTATAAACTGTCCCTTAACTCGACACTCTGTATTTGTTGTACTCTATATAATTTTTATTTAAATTGAGGAAAATATGTTGGTAAAAACAAAAGAGGAATGCAGACATTCAGAACTTTATACATGAACTGGCTAGAAATTAATTACCAAACAGAATGTAAACGTCTCCCATATAATCACATTATTGCACTCTTTATTTATCAGTGACGGAAAAAGTAATCAGTAATTTTGGTTTAGATAGCTTAACACTTGCTCTTGCACTCAGAGTCTTCGCAAATGTCGCAGAGCTTCGATTCAATTTGATAATATTCGGTGGCCTTCTTGTTCGTATCATAATAGTCGTAGAGGACAACGGGAGCGGGTTTCTGGTTGGCCACCGCATGGGTTCTAAAAGCGTCGAAGGGTATGCATTTGAGTTCACCCCTCAGCAGATTCTCGAAGTAGACAACAATCACAGAATCGCCGTTTTTGGTTTCCACCAACTGCAAAGGGAACGAAACAATTTAGGTCACAGGCGATCTATCAGAATGGAAGGAATGACGAACTACTTACCCTGACACGCTCAATGTCTTTTATGTCCTTGAAGCTATCTTCATCGGCGGTATACCCAGAAGGCAAGGATACCTCTAGTATGGCCATGTTGGAGGCCTTCGCTTTGCCCTCCTCCACGTACTCCACACACACGCTCAGTTCCAGCTTGGCTGGCGAGGATTCTGGCTTGACAATTGTTTGTATTTTAAAGCTGGGCTTTGTTTCCTTCTCTACCACATTGTATTGATAGCTAATCTGAATCAGAGCTGCTCCTGTGCCCTTAGCCTCGAACTCCAGCGACTGGGTACCCTGTGGAAACTCGACAGTCTGCAGCACCAGATCGTTTTCCTCCGTGGCGCTCAGTTTCTCGGTCTTCTCTCGCTTTCCCTTGTTAGAGACACTCACCTCCCACTTGGCCGCTTCATAGCCCGACTTCTCAGCGAACTTGATCAGGGCTTGCAGACCTACAACTGTGTCCTGGCTGGAGGCAAACCCTCCAAAACTATTGCGCTGCGCCACTAGCCAGCGGATAGTGTTCAAAACCGAGTCCGGTGTCTCCTGCTCTGTTTCCAGCAGTGTGAGCAGCGCATAGGAAGTGATCTCCACGTCGTGGCTCCACACCCAACACCACCAACGGCGGCAGCCCTTGGAAGCCCGCAGCTTCTCTGTGTCCTCCGTCCACCATGTGCGGTCGTCTTCCTGCTGTGCTAGGGCTTTGAGGCTTGCCACATGTTTAGCGGCGTCTGGAGCCTTTGATTTTTGCAAGGCATAGACGGCTATAGATTTGGGCAGCAATTCCTCAGACTCCTCTGTGTGGGCACTCAGATAGGCCACGGCCTTGTCTATGGCTGTCTGGTTCTTCTTGTCCTGCTCGAGTAGTGCCAGCAGGGCGTTGGCTGTAAGAGTCAGTGAAGAGCGCTGCGATCCGTAGAAGTATTCTCCTGCGTCGGTGAAGCTGCCATTCTCTACCTGACGGCTCAGCAGGAATTCATAACCACTTTCCAAGCTTTTTTCATCCAAATCAATGATGTCTTTGATTTTACTGAAGGAGCGCAAGACATAGGATGTCAGCCAGGTAGAGCCATTGCGGTCAGGGTCTTCCTCTCTCCATTTGCCAGGGCCGAAGGAACTGAAGCTCCCATCATCGTGACGATAGTGCAGCATATTCTGATAGCCTTCTTGTAAGTTTCTCTTGATGCGTGTTTCAATGGCAGGAGTTAGTTTCTTGATGCTCTTCAGGTAGTCTCTTACTAAATAGTTGGGAACCAATTTAGACATAGTCTGCTCGCCACAGCCGCTGGGCAATCTCAGGAGATTCTCTAGGTTTTTGATCACTGGGCCGAGCAGATCGCCTACAAGTCCGAATTCCACTCGCTGCGAATCTGGAACAATGTCCTCCGGCACTTCCAGTTCAAAGGTGTTTTTATACTCTCCAACATCCTTGAGATTGACGAAGAAGGCTCGATTCTGATATTTTGTGATTCCTTCTGGGATTACCTTAAGCGACTTGTGGACAGCATCGCCTGCCAAAGGAGAGATGGCTGAAAACTTTAGTAGAATATTTCCAATCACCTTCGGACGAATCAGGAATGATGCACCGGCTGCCTCATTGGCTCCCACACGGATGACCTGAGTACGCTTCTGATCGCCAATAACCTCATTGGAGGCATCGACGAATTCGAATTCATCATCTTGATTGTCTAACGTCAGCTCCACATCCAGATTCTTGGGCAAATAGTTGAAGACCAAGGCTGGGACATTAATGAGCTCGCCACGTTTCACCGAGTAAGGCAAACGGATGGAGACGAAGAAGGGCTGGAACGTCTTAATGTTCACCTTATGGTCGGTCACACCTAGTCCCTTCTCTGTGTTCAGGGAGAATCCAGTGACCACCCAATTGGTGATCGTGTCGGGTATGGTCTTCACCCACTTAAAGATCTCTGTCTCTGTGTTTTCAATATCTGCGAAAATCCAAGTTTCTGCAAAGTTCTTACGGACCACTGGTGCAGCAGCAGCGGCACCGGATTCTGCAGAAAATCCTGCAGCTTGAACAGCACCCAATGCTGAGGTTGTTGTATGGTAGACAGGAGCGTCCTGCGCGATAGCAGTCTTCCGCATGGCCGAAACGGTTCCACCACCAAAACCAAAAGCTTCTGTCGATGATAATATGTTTGTAGGAATAAAAGTAAGCACTGATGTTATGTAGAAACAACTTACGTGGATAGCTAATAGGAGCGGTGCGATTGTAGAAGAAATAGGCATTGGTCATGGTCACAACACCGCTGCGTTCGCCGGGATAGTAGGAATAGCCACCTTGCCAAGGTGTGGACGTGTCATAGCCGCCTAAGCGCCAGTTGAACGAATCCTTGTCCAGATCGTTATTACCGCCCAAGAGCAGAACGCTCTGATCCACAGCCAGAAGGCCAACAAAAGACTTGGGCGGTGTCTTTATTTCCAGCTCAACATCGGCACCTGGCTTCACTTCCTCCGGGCCCGTGATCTCAATCTTGTTTTGCAGTTCAACCTCGACGCTAAAGGTGTCCTCGGCATAGCGGAATTCGCCCGATTCATCCACGTAATACACATAGATGCGACCATGGGGCGCGGTCAAGAATGTGGGTTTTAGTGTAATGTTGTAGACCTTCTGGGGTTCGGCCAGATCCACTCGCTCAGTGTTCAGAACATTGCCGCGACCAATGATGTTGTAGAAAAAGTACTTGAGTGGACGACTGGAGTTCAAGGTTACCTGGTACTCCTGGCCTATCTTCAGGCTGTAAAAAAGGGACAGGTTAGGACATTAGTTAGTATGATAATGATCCCACGTACTTCCAGGTGTCCTTCGGTCTGTTCACTTCGGCCCTAAACCATTCCTTCTCCTTTTCCTCCTCGCTGGGGTCGGTCGTGTCGATTTTCTTCGGCTCCCTATAGGGATAGGTGGTGTAAAGCTCCCGCTTCTCGTCCGCATACTCCAGCTCAATGCTATAGTAGCGCGTATAGTTTTCCATGTCCGGCAGATCGGGAAGAGTGACCTTAAATGGCACCAGACTCGACTCATTCAAATGACTCTCGAACTCAAACGTTTTCTTCTCAATCTCAGGCAATTCTGGCTGCTTTTCCTCACTGCCATAGTGATAGAAGCCATAGGTATGCCGTATTCCTTCGGTGAACTTTGCCTGCAAGTAGAATAGGCTGGATTAGCCAGAAACAAAATATGACTTTAAACTGTACTCACCTTGACAACCGACTTGGTGTCTGTCAGCAGAGAGCCATCGACCAGGGTTATCTTAAAGACAAGCTCCTGCTCCTTATCGGGCTTGAACGAATAGCAAGACGAAAAGTCCGGGCAAGACATCTCATAGCGATACGGATACAGTTGAACACCACTAGTTTCGTTGAGTTTCACGCCCGTAAAGTTCTCCTCGAGAGTTGCCGTAATCTGGGCATATGACGATGACGTTTTGTGTGGCAAATAACTAGCGAACTCCTTCAGATTCAGATCAAACTTGGCTTTGCCATTGACCATGTCCGCGGTGGCAATCAGCGAGTGGCCGGGGAAGTCATTGCGCACGGTTTTGCCATCGACATTCTCCCACACACTGGTCTCATCCATGTGCACATTGACCAAAACCTTGCCATTGACGGGCTTGCCATAGGTATAGCTACACCAAGACAAGAAGTACAACAATTATTTACGAGAATATTCTCGGAGTAGAAACATTTACATACTTGGCCTTCAGCACTATGTTTATATCACCATCTCTGACTGACACTTGCTGTGTGGCATCCATTTTGATAGTGTATTTGGGCAGGACATATTTCTCCACCTCGAAGGAGACACGTTCATCGGAACGAAAGTGGCCAAAGTGTCGTCCGCCTGGATAAAATGAGCGTCCCTGCTGATTTTCGCCATTATGAACCAGTAGAGTCCACGTGCCGAGTGTGGCAAACTCGGAGAGCTCGAACTTCCCGGTGTACACTCCGCTGGTGGTCTTGATGTGCTTCTCCTGCTTAATGCGGTTGCGCTTGGAGTCTTCGAACCAGACAACGACGCCGTCCTCAGCTGTGTCCGGTCGCAGGTTCTCATCCAGGAAGATGACGCGATAGTTGATCGTATCGCCGGGCTTGTACTTCCCCTTATCGGTTTGTATCTTAATGTACGGCCTGAAGTCATCATAGTTAAGCTTCGTTGTATTGACAAATTTCAGCCCCGATACGCCCTCGGCGGTTAGATTGTAATCCCCCGTCTCCAGAGGCGGCAGCTTGAAGGTGATCTGCTTGAACTCATCTGACTTGGCCAGTTCCACCGTTTGGGTCTCATTGAATGAGGGTCCTGTGATGCCAATTTTGAGGGTCACCGGCTCCTGGGTTTGATGAACGGCAACGGCCACATTGTAGTCGCGATGAGAATGTATGGTTCCGGGGCCAACAATGGTGTATTTACTGTAATCGAAGAACAGAATCGTTAATTATGTTTCTATTGGTAAATCACAAAAGTTAATCTCAGAATTTAATATTTATTATGGAGCGGTGAACTACGCTTCTGCTTAAATAACACAAATTTTTAATTAGCCCTTCCATTAACCTCAGGATTATCAATTCCCCGAAGGTAATCATCAAATACCGAGCTGGGTTTTTTTTGTCGCAACCAAATAAGTATATGTATTTATACATGAATTTCATTAGAATGCTGGAGATAACGGTAAATGTTCCAAAAACCTGATTCTTCGCAGAATCAGAATCGAAAATCTCAAAAACCGGATGGCTTTATGATTATATAACGAACAATTTGTTTACGAACTTTTTGTTATTTTTTTAGCACTTACAAACCCGTAAAACGAACTGGCCCCCAGGAGAGCTTCTCCGTTGTTTTGGTTTTGATTAGTTTTAACATTCAAGCTTGAATGGCAGTAGGTTATTACAACCTCTCAACTTAATATCGCATTTAATATTTAGCCTTTATATTCGTTTCTAATTATTAGTAATTATCCAGCTGGTCTTGATAGAGCAACATGATCGTGTCACAGTGATTAATGAGTTGTGATCAACAAAAACCACATTAAACCAAACAAAGGATGCGATGTGTGAGCAATATATAAAATGTGGTTCACTAAAAAACTCAATTAGCAGCACAAGTTTGATCGAAACAAAAATTGTAGAGAGCCGATGGATGATATACGAGTATGTACATATGTAAATATGGTTATACAAATATTATGCTATCACCTATTTCTTATTATTGATCGACAAAATATAGGACATTTTTTTATTTGATACACAATTCAAATTAGCAAATTGTCCTTTTAATCATTCAAGGGCAAAATGGCTATAAATCAACAAATACAATACTTTGCACTCGTAATAATAACTAACAGCGAACCAGGTACTAAATAAATATATATATGTGCATGTATTAGTACATACATATGTATGTATGTATATATGAACATTAAAAAAACACACCATATACTTAATTACCTTGAAGCCTAATTAAATGCTGCGATGCCCTACCTGCCCATATACATACATATTCATTAAATTATAACTTTTTTGACCGATCTCATTGGCCATATCTATCGAAAATGGAATGGACTTACCCCTCGCATTTTACCGGTTCCATCATCTGCAGCAGCGCGAGAGTCGCACAGACGGTGACAGCAAAGGCGTCTGCGCGACGCATTTTGTGTGTGTGGCGGCCGAAAGGGGACAAGGAGGAGCAAAATAAAAATAAAATTACAAAAGGGGAAACACTTTGAACGGGGGTGCTGGGGGATTTCGATTATTGTGAACAGATATTGCAAGCGCGGATACAACCGACGGGTCTCAGAGCTGAGCTGAGACTGGTTCAGTGGGAAACCTCACAGATTTGTTATAGCATCGACGACACCAACAACCAACAACAAAGATTCAAAGCCGGGCCTGGCGACGCCGACGTCGACTGTGGCGCGAGTCATACAAAAATAAATACTGATAAAAATTATAAGCAAATAAATGTGTGCTTGTGTGAGTGCCTAGATGTACATATGTACATAATGTACAAGGACTGCAAATGTATTTTGTACAGTACATACAAATCTATTAGCAAATCGATGATAAGTCAGAACAGACAAACAAACAAAACCAGAAATAATAATAACAATATACAGAAAAAAACGCCGGCAATCGCAGCTTGAACATCAAAAGGTTGGGCCAGCCAACTAAAATGTTATCATGTACGTATGCATATATGGATTTATATATATATGTATGTACATATGTACATACATTCTGGCCAATGTATATACAATTTTTCAATACGTATAGATAGAAAAGATTTTACATCCATAAATAAATATGTATATAGCTTGGACTAGCGAAGTATTTCGTCATAGCCAGCAATGGCTGAACGTTAATGATATCATACACCCACAAAACATTTTGCAGGTTTATTGAACAAGTGATATACACAGTAATACACGCAAATAGGTTTTGCCCCTGAATTATCTGATTGTTCTATGGAATGAATTAGAAGTGCGATATTACAGGTGCTGGTCGCTGAACTTTAGCCATGCGAAAATCAAATTAATTAATGTACATATGGATATACCATATATCTCTGAAATTATATATTTCATCTTGGTTTTTTTCAGATATTAACACTTTAATTGTCTCTAATAACTGTCGCTTCGTGCCTTAAAAGCTTGTTTTTATCGAAATTCGCTTTTATTACGCTAATGGACACGGTTCTACACTTTGAATATGGTTACACAGTACGTACATGGGCTGGGGACAGTTTGGGGAATTCCTGAGAATACTTAGTTTCCGCAGAACCACAGATATTTTGTAGTTTGTTGATGCCTTTAATATTTGGAAAATCCCAACATCAAAAGTTTCAGTAAATTATGGGTGTCATCTCTCTTTTTTTTGTTTAAATTACTTATTAGCAGCAAACACCAACCGAAGCCGGCGTACGGATGGGAAATACAGCGTTCTACGGCTTTGCTGTGGGACTTATAAATATATCAAACTCTCTCTCGCTCTCTACTTTGCAATATTAACCTCTCTCCACAGCGCCGCGTCAGCTGTTGTTGTTTTGTATCTCTCGCTCTTTACGCCAAAGAATGACGTCACCTGTATGTATTTCACATATGTACATATGTAACTTTGCAAAAGTGAAAAGTATATAGACAGTATGACTAATTTACGAAAGATACACATATAAAAGAGATTCGCTAAACCGGATTTTTTGCGGTGAACCCCCTGTGGTATAGATAATCTACTTGTATAATTATACCTTGTTCGACTTACACAAAGATACATTTGTAAATATGTAAATAGAAGCGGCCTGCTCCGAGATTCTCGGATCTGGAGTGATATGGATATGACCCAAGTAAATGCACGGTTGTACGACTTCCTATTCAACAAGCACGGGTTATCGCGCACCCAAGCAGTAAATACTTGTGCATGTACATATTTAGAGCTATTATCTCCTCAGAAACAGTTCCAATTCCACACAAATAGCTACAGATACACGCCCAAGTGACCATACCAAAAGGTGGTTTCCCCAAGAGAAACATTTTCTTCCATTCCATTCACTCATTCATCAGGCAGTTTCTTTGGGACGCAATTTCACAACACTCGTTGCTCGTTTTGGACAGTTTCTTAGGTCGGACCCAAACTATTATCAGAAGAGCTGCAACACGAGTAGAGTATTATTGATGGCCAAAGTTGGAAAGTTTTTGCATGAATAATACCGGATAATAATTTGGCAGGGCTAATGATAAAAACTGGTTTTAGAATGCTCCAAAAATAACAATAATCGCACAAAATCACAGTCCAGCCGGAGCAATGGCAATCATCGCCACCACACCTGGCTGCTGCTGCCGCCTTTTACGCGCCAAGGTAAAGCACGTGAACGAACAGCTGACTCACCATGGAAACACCGCGCTCTACTTGTTTTGAAAGTGTAATTCTTTTTTTTTTGTTTTCTCGCAAATTGGGAATTCTCTGAGAGAACAGCGAGCGTTCCGCTGGTCGCTTTTTCCAGCTGTTTCGTGGCGTGAACGAGTCAAACGCTTCCTAACATCCAAAGCGATCAGACGTCACCAGTTTCTCTCGGTTTATAGTGGCACTCAACTTATCACCCGAACGTGCGCATCTCACGTACCAGATAAGGACTAATATCAACAGCATGGCCATCAATGAATTACAAGGCTGTCTAGGCGATGTCTGCGAGACGGGAGATCAGCAGAATGGTTCCAGTAGCTATGCAGGATTTTACTTTAACTTCTGCACCCTCATCTCGCACGTTCTGCTAACTGGGATCACCGTGGCCATCGTCTACAAGTGCTTGGTCCTTAAGCTGGCGCACACGGCTGGACATGCTTTCTACTGCACAATTGCTGTGAGTATATTGTGGCTTGGATCGTGTACATATTTCTATAGAAACATACCAATTATCCCCGCAGTTTGTTTTCTTCATGGGCGAGGCTTTGTTGGTGAGAAACAGCAGGAGCCTGGAGGCATGGATCGGACAGACCAACTTGAATCGCTTGCATGCGATTCTGGGGCTGCTGGCGTTCCTGGTCGGGGTCGGAGGCATTGCTATCAAGACATGGCAGAAGCTGGAACGGAAACGAGAAGATCCCAACGCTACGGTACGGCACTTCCGCAGCAATCACGGCTTCTTTGGTAAGTTCGTCAGCACTCGCCCGAAACTCGTGTACAAATGTTTAATTTATTGTCTCCCTCAGGCATAGTCGGCTGTGCTCTTCTGCTTGGCAGCGTGCTAAGCGGTCTACCTCTGTATTTCATCAGCAGTAGCGTTACTTTGAAATTCCTCCATCGTTTCTTCGGCCTGATCGGATTCCTCGCATTGATGGTCTCGCAAATGTTTGGCTATAATACGGGCTTCGGGCGGCGCCAATGGAAACGTCACCACCAGAATCTGTTCAAGTTCTTTACATTTATTGCCACCATAACTACCTCAAATTACGAATTACGAAGATTTTTACGGGATATATTTGTCTTGATATCAAATAGTCTCTTCCAGGCAGAGCCAGTACAAGCGAGAGAAGACCTTTAGGTGAACTTTTTGAAAGAAACGATCTTTAAGGGTGCACTAGGACATTTAGAACTGCGCTATAAAGTATTGTAGCTTTCTTAAATACTTAACTATTAGATAGTAAAAATAGAAATATAACTGGAAGCCATCAGGAAATGAATAATAATTACAACTTCTTTAGAAATCTTTCAAGAGCAATTTTTTTTATTATTGTGCCTTTATTGGTATTTTACATAATAGTGCTGCATGTGATAATATACTTTTGATTAATTGAAAGATAAAATACATAACATTCTCTATATATTGTTGTTATTAAGCAATCACCAAAGGATCAAATCCTAGAACTACATTTAAATTGCCACTTTTTAATGGGATGCTACAGTTATTGAATATATGATTATAATTAATATGTGTACGTTTATTTAATATATTTATATTTAGTTACGACGCTGCGAATTGTGCATAATGTCAAGAGCAGCTGGTATATTGCCCTGGACCGACTCCAGTAGCTGTGTCAACCAGGCGCCCTCATTGCTGAAGCCCATGGCCATCATTGCGTGTATGGAGTCGTTGATGCGTTCATCTAAGCAAAATGGAAAGGATTAGAATACAAATAATAATATAATATTCGTCTGGAGACTTACCGGTATGATAGACTGTCGGAGTGGTCTTTTCCTCGGGGGCTGCTGGTGAGGTGCCGACGCTATTGGTGGAAACCGACGTGGAAGTGGAAGTGCTCACCGTATCCACCTGAGAAGTCTGGGTGTTGGCTGTAGCCTGCTCGCGATGCTCTTCCTCTTGCATATGCTGACGCAGCATCTGTCCCAACTGACTGAAATCGCGCACTGGCTGCTGTGGTGCAGCAGTGGGCTCGAGTGGGTCCAGAGAGATTAGCGAATCAATCACTTGCCAATCGGGATCCAAGCTTTCTGAGCGACGCTGCTTCACCGGCTCGGTGGCCGGTGGTGATGGTGGTGTATCAGATGGCTTGGGCAGCAAGGGTTCCGTTTCAAGAGAAGCCTGACCTGACGACGAGACAGAAGACCCCGCAGTCGATTGGTTAGCAGATTCAGGCTGCTTAGTTGCGGACTCTTCTGGTTTCTTTGCCTCAGTGGATGAGGCTGTCGAGGCTGCATAGCTTGCGGCAGTGGGCGACTCAGTGGGATCAATCATCTTGGCAAACATTTCGCTGAAATTGTTCAAGATTTCAATGCCTGCACGCATGTACTCAGGTGGCACCATTTGCGAAATGCTGTCCAGATTAATAACCGGAGTAGTTGGAGTACCGGACTGGGCCTGGGTATGCTCTGATTCCTTAGAGCGCGGAGCAGCCACTGGCTCTTCGGTCGTGTGGTCTTTCTTAGTTGGAGCAGCAGTGTTGGTCTCCTTGTTTTTAGTTGGATTTGATTCGGTCTCGGTGGCCTTCTGTGCTGTTGCTGTTGGTTCAGCAGTTGAAGCCTTTTCCTTTGGTTGTTGTGCTGGCGACGCACAAGTGGCTGGAGTGTTGTTCTCCGGCATGTTGATCATCATGTCCACAAACTGGGATAATACGTTGCCATGACGACGGGCATGACGACGCTCGCGGCGACCCTCCCTGGGCGAATCAGCTGTTCCTGCTGGAGCCGCAGCTGCTGCCTGAGCAGCCTCTCCGAATGGGCAGTGGCCACGGGAGCGGTGGCCCGAGCGCCGACCACATCTATTCGCACCGCTTATCCAAGCCTCCACAACACTTGGTCCGTTATTGGTGGGCATGCGGACCATCAAATGCTCCGGATGCTTGTGAGCTGCCTCACATCTTTGGCAAAGGTCATAGTTCGGGCATTGGACACACTTGTAGCGAAAGCCAACCAATGGCGACAGGCCACAGCCGTCACACTCTACACCGTCATGGATGGTGAAATTGCTCGGATCGTCAGCAGAGGGAGGAGCAGCCGTGGTGGCAGCCGCGGACTTAGCCGTTTGAGGCTCCTCCACTATAGCAACAAGAGGTGCAATTTGCAGATGCATATTCTGCTCCCTTTTGGCCAGGAAGATTTCATAATCATTTTGGTTGATAATTTCGATTTCATCGTGATCGTGATCTGGGAACAAAGGAAATGATAGCAAAACAATTATAATGAGTCATATATGTTGTCTAGTTTTTTTCTTATCAAAGGTATTTTCTAGGTGATTCACATTGAGGACAGCTGGGCATATATTGCCAAAAAAAAACTAGCTAGCATTAATGGCTAAACTGTCAACACTGTCGCATGGGTTGCAATTACATTGAGCAATATGCATTTGCCATTTGCAAATTTCGATCTGTGGCCGTCCGTGCCCTAGATGCAAATTAGTTGCACTTCCATCAAACTAGAATGCAATTGTTGAATTATATAACAGCACTCACCAATCCAGAAGGTCCTGATCTCACACTTGGCCAGCTGGCGCTCCTGGAAAAGATACATCTCAATTTCACGACGCAATACATTGAAATTCTGAGAGGGCATTCTCAAGTATGCATTAATCTTCTTTTGGGGTCCAGCCACGTCTGGGCCCTGATAGGTGATTTTCAACAATTTCTCCGTCATTTTCGCAGTATTTTTATTTGTTTCTGACAATCTGTTAATTTTGTTATCTGTTTATTTTTGTTTTATTTCTCACAGGTAGTTTGCTTGTCGAGTTGTTTTTTTCCTGCACGTCTACTGCGTCGTAGCTGTTCGAGTGTTCGGTTGTTTTTAAACTGCAAGTGGTCCGCCGATCAACTTTTATACTGGTTAATGGAATGTTCTTGATGGTTCGGGCCCAAAATTTTGCAACTCACGGCTCTGCTGATGCCTGATGTGGAGTTTTAGTTCAAAAAAATTGTAGTGTAATGCTAAAGCTGGTCTTCATATGATTTATCGACTTATCGATAATGAGTTAAAGAATTATAGTTTAGTGTTTCGTAAGCTGATGTTAGCCCACTTAAGCCCCCTATATTTAAATAATTCAACTACTTGAAATAAATGAGGGAAAATATTAACGACTGTAAGTTCTTCTTAAAGATCCATCCTATCCTTCCTTTTAACTTGCAAAAAACCCCACGAATGTTTCTCCTGAACTGCTCTAAAATTAGTAAATTTTCATTATTTTGGCTGAAAAATTGAAATACCCCCTTGGCTTATAATAGGTTAATCGTTCTCCGTCAAGGATTGGAAACCAAATTGCTCAATTTTGATGTTCCGTCATGTATTATTAGCTAGATAGAACATTTTGCCATGCCCACATAGGTTCCTACGGTGGATGAATCAATTTTCTACTTCATTGGCTTAATCTTAATACTTGCTTTTATTGGATCTTGTCTAAACAAAGGATTTAGCGAAAATGGTCAAACAAAAAAGCATTTAGCAAAATAGGTCATACAAAACAACGAAAGAGCATAGTTGTTCCAATTGCTCAATTCTTTATTCCGTTGAATAATTCTGGCTAACTAACACCTTTAGTTTTGTCCACATAATTTTAGGCTATTGATGAATCAATTTTCTACTTGACTGGCTTGTTTGAAATACTGGCTTTTATTGCATTTTGTGTAAAAAAAGGTTTTAGCGAAAAAGGTCAAACAAATGAAACGTAATAAAACGTAAGAGAAAAACCGTTCCAATTGCTCATTTTCTTTATTCCGTTGAATAATGGTGCATAACTAAAACCTTTAGCTTTGCCCATATAATTTCAGGCCATTAATGAATAAATTTTCTACAAGATTGGATAGTTTTCAGTACACTCATTTATCTTATTTTGACTGCAGCAAGGTTTAAATAAAAAAGGTCAACAAAAAAACAGTGGCAACGTAAGTGAGTGTGAAATGTCACGTCAACCGGAGTTTGACACAGGTATACCTTATTTCATTAATTTAATATGATGATCCTGTTTTTCAAACTGTTTTAAAACGTAATTAATAAATAAATTTTTTCAAATTGATATGTTTTATATATTGGTCTCTGGAGAAAGACGATGAGCTGCAAAATATCGTTGAAATAGGTTTAAAATAGGGACTAAATTGTTTTTGCATTAATTGGAGACTACTATTATAAACATAAAAAAAATCATAATCATTTAAATTCGAAAATATTCATTATTCAATAAAAATCAAGAATAACGATTATTCAATAAAAATCAAGAATAACAATTATAATAACAATTATTCAATAAAAATCAAGAATAACAATTATAATAACGATTATTCAATAAAAATCAAGAATAACAATTATAATAACAATTATTCAATAAAAATCAAGAATAACAATTATAATAACGATTATTCAATAAAAATCAAGAATAACAATTATAATAACGATTATTCAATAAAAATCAAGAATAACAATTATAATAACAATTATTCAAGAATAACAATTATAATAACAATTATTCAATAAAAATCAAGAATAACAATTATAATAACGATTATTCAATAAAAATCAAGAATAACAATTATAATAACGATTATTCAATAAAAATCAAGAATAACAATTATAATAACAATTATAATAACAATTATAATAACAATTATTCAATAAAAATCAAGAATAACAATTATAATAACAATTATTCAATAAAAATCAAGAATAACAATTATAATAACGATTATTCAATAAAAATCAAGAATAACAATTATAATAACGATTATTCAATAAAAATCAAGAATAACAATTATAATAACAATTATAATAACAATTATTCAATAAAAATCAAGAATAACAATTATAATAACAATTATTCAATAAAAATCAAGAATAACAATTATAATAACAATTATTCAATAAAAATCAAGAATAACAATTATAATAACAATTATTCGATAAAAATCAAGAATAACAATTATAATAACGATTATTCAATAAAAATCAAGAATAACAATTATAATAACAATTATAATAACAATTATAATAACAATTATAATAACAATTATCATAACAATTATAATAACAATTATAATAACAATTATTCAATAAAAATCAAGAATATCAATTATAATAACAATTATTCAATAAAAATCAAGAATAACAATTATAATAACGATTATTCAATAAAAATCAAGAATAACAATTATATAATAACAATTATTCAATAAAAATCAAGAATAACAATTATAATAACAATTATTCAAGAATAACAATTATAATAACAATTATTCTATAAAAATCAAGAATAACAATTATTCTATAAAAATCAAGAATAACAATTATAATAACAATTATAATAACAATTATAATAACAATTATTCAATAAAAATCAAGAATAACAATTATAATAACAATTATTCAATAAAAATCAAGAATAACAATTATTCTATAAAAATCAAGAATAACAATTATAATAACAATTATAATAACAATTATAATAACAATTATTCAATAAAAATCAAGAATATCAATTATAATAACAATTATTCAATAAAAATCAAGAATAACAATTATAATAACGATTATTCAATAAAAATCAAGAATAACAATTATAATAACGATTATTCAATAAAAATCAAGAATAACAATTATAATAACAATTATTCAATAAAAATCAAGAATAACAATTATAATAACGATTATTCAATAAAAATCAAGAATAACAATTATAATAACAATTATAATAACAATTATTCAATAAAAATCAAGAATAACAATTATAATAACAATTATTCAATAAAAATCAAGAATAACAATTATAATAACGATTATTCAATAAAAATCAAGAATAACAATTATTCTATAAAAATCAAGAATAACAATTATAATAACAATTATAATAACAATTATAATAACAATTATAATAACAATTATTCAATAAAAATCAAGAATATCAATTATAATAACAATTATTCAATAAAAATCAAGAATAACAATTATAATAACGATTATTCAATAAAAATCAAGAATAACAATTATAATAACAATTATAATAACAATTATTCAATAAAAATCAAGAATAACAATTATAATAACAATTATTCAATAAAAATCAAGAATAACAATTATTCTATAAAAATCAAGAATAACAATTATTCTATAAAAATCAAGAATAACAATTATAATAACAATTATAATAACAATTATAATAACAATTATTCAATAAAAATCAAGAATAACAATTATAATAACAATTATTCAATAAAAATCAAGAATAACAATTATTCTATAAAAATCAAGAATAACAATTATAATAACAATTATAATAACGATTATTCAATAAAAATCAAGAATAACAATTATAATAACAATTATTCTATAAAAATCAAGAATAACAATTATAATAACAATTATAATAACAATTATTCTATAAAAATCAAGAATAACAATTATAATAACAATTATTCAATAAAAATCAAGAATAACAATTATAATAACGATTATTCAATAAAAATCAAGAATAACAATTATAATAACAATTATTCGATAAAAATCAAGAATAACAATTATAATAACAATTATAATAACAATTATTCAATAAAAATCAAGAATAACAATTATAATAACAATTATTCAATAAAAATCAAGAATAACAATTATAATAACGATTATTCAATAAAAATCAAGAATAACAATTATTCTATAAAAATCAAGAATAACAATTATAATAACAATTATAATAACAATTATTCAATAAAAATCAAGAATAACAATTATAATAACAATTATTCAATAAAAATCAAGAATAACAATTATAATAACAATTATAATAACAATTATTCAATAAAAATCAAGAATAACAATTATAATAACGATTATTCAATAAAAATCAAGAATAACAATTATAATAACGATTATTCAATAAAAATCAAGAATAACAATTATAATAACGATTATTCAATAAAAATCAAGAATAACAATTATCATAACAATTATAATAACAATTATAATAACAATTATTCAATAAAAATCAAGAATAACAATTATAATAACAATTATTCAATAAAAATCAAGAATAACAATTATAATAACGATTATTCAATAAAAATCAAGAATAACAATTATAATAACAATTATTCAATAAAAATCAAGAATAACAGTTATAATAACAATTATTCAAGAATAACAATTATAATAACAATTATTCTATAAAAATCAAGAATAACAATTATAATAACAATTATTCAATAAAAATCAAGAAAAACAATTATTCTATAAAAATCAAGAATAACAATTATTCAATAAAAATCAAGAATAACAATTATTCAATAAAAATCAAGAATAACAATTATTCAATAAAAATCAAAAATAAGAGTTATAATAACAATTATTCAATAAAAATCAAGAATAACAGTTATAATAACAATTATTCAAGAATAACAATTATAATAACAATTATTCTATTAAAATCAAGAATAACAATTATAATAACAATTATTCAATAAAAATCAAGAATAATAATATATGGAATGCGGCTAATTGTCGTCAACCGGTTATGACCAATAAATATTCGTTTTTGATATTCCTTGGAATATTACTAGCTATATAGATCTCTCAGTTTTGCCCACATAATTTTATATTATTAATGAATCAATTTTGTTCGAGATTAACTACTTTTATGTACTTGCATGTATTGTATTTTGACTAAAACACGGTTTAAAAATTAATGTAGCCAGCAAAATTGGGATTCATTGCTGTCAACCGGTTAAAGGAGGTCCTTACCCGATTCCAGTTCGGTAATCGATATGAGTGGTGCCCGCCAAATAGAAATTGTTTGAAAGTGAATGAGCGAAAAGGAGTTAAATGCAATCTATTGGAATATATGATACACGTAAGTACGATTTGAGAGCGAAATTAAAAAAACCTGCGTATTAAGGCTTCTAAACCCTTTGTTCTTAAAAATACACTAGAAAATTAGATTTAATAGATTGATGAAATTGACAAAATACATTTATACCGTAAATATACCGTAGGTTAAATGTTGACCTAAAAAAAGTTTTTTCTACAAGGTAACTACACGGTAACTACATTTTGTCACAACTGAACTACATATTTATGTAAAAACGTAAGCGTGTATGGATTGTAACGTAGTGAGCATGAAATGGTACGTCATTTGAACACTTGTTTGTCAACCTTAGTATGGACTTATAAATACCCTATTTTATATTCCAAGCTTATTTGAAACATTACTAATGACTCTTTCCCAGATTTGATTAGTTTCCCGTACGTATATTTCAATCCCGTTACCTATTCTATGGTTTTCTATCCGCGCCAGTGTAAAAATAATAGTACGGTCTATTACAGTCATGTAGAATGTCATGTAGAAATATACGTTATTAAATTTACAAATTTAATAACCGTTTAAGCTAAACAATTATTTTTTTTTAAATAATGCTTCAGAACTACCAATTTACCAGAAAATTGATTCATCGATAGGATAAAGTGGTGAGTTTCATTGATTCATATATTTATTTATATATCCTAAATTAGTTTTTAAAATTTTATTTTTTTTTAAGAATAACGTTAGATTTTTCTGCTTTTAAGCTTCTTTAGCATTTCAAGCAATTGAGAAGGTGAACTGGAAATAGCATAAAAAAATGTATTATTTGATAAAAGAAATTTATTCGATTTTAGATACATACCGGCTAGCGTTCTGCGGTGCCACAACATGATGCTGTCGGCTTTCCATATCAGTTTTGGGATCTGGAATTCTAGTATGCTCCTCTGAAGCCGTTGATTCTGGCTCTCTGACTGGAACCTTTTCGTACAATTGGGTTTCATCTGGCTCTGGAGTAGAATGTTGGAGAAGCATTTCCCTCATATCTGCAAGTTCAAAGGAATGTTAGTATCTTTTCTTGTACATTTGATGAAATCTTACTGAAATACTGATCGGCCATCATATACAAAGAATGGTAACTCATCTCGGGTGCCAGAGCTACGACCAGACCATCCATCTTCAGCTGCAAATTTTCAGCTCCCTTTTGCCGCTGATCATAATAGATATCCTCCTGTTGATACCCGTTATCGTTGTAGTCGTCATACAAGACCTCCAGCAGATCGCTGATCACATTTCGTGGGCCACCGGGACGAGCCTTGACCGACACGGGCTGGGCCAGCACCACGCCCAGAGCCAGCAGCAGCAGGGCAAAGACGAACAATCGATTGGTAAATTTGCACATACTCGTACTCGTACTCGTACTGCTTTTCAGCGCAGACAGGACCGTTGTGCTCTGACAGCGTGCGACGAATGACCATTCTGGTCGTGGTTCTACCACATAGACCAGAATGAGCCTGGACCGTGGACCAATGGATACTGGGATGCTGGGATGCTGAGACGCTGGGAGAAAAAAAACCCGATTTCTGGACACAGTTCAATGTCCGTCGACCAAAGACTTCCGCATTGCAAGGGAACTGTGGGAATATTTACTGAGGCTGGGATGCACATCTAATGCTTCCTAGCTGCCACATAGGAAAATGCTTTCTATACCTTAGACTCTGGATTTCTCGCCAGTATCACATTTCAGACCCCACCCAAATGGGTTCATTCTGAAAGTAGTAGCTAACCTAATAACCTCGATTTGATCTAAGCTCAATAGAAATCGTAAATCATCAAAAATATACTAATTTCTGGGGGATGTAATATATGTATGTTTGACGAAAATCTGTTGACTCTTCGAGTTAACGGCGCCCCACCGTGTGTTTCATTGTGTGTGATCAGGTGTGTCGTATGGTAGATCTATTGAACCAGGTTCAATGACCAATGACCAATCTCAGGCCCAGTCTGCATGGAGAATGCACTGCTCCCCACAGGAAGAGGCTGTGTGGATGTGGCTCTGCTGGAGCTTGAAGCTACAATTCAGAGTCTTTCTAACTGGAAACTGGTTTCGAATAGAAAAACCTGCAAAAATTATGGAGTTGCTGGCCTTTGTCTCTGGGTAATTGCTAATGCACGGCCTGTCCCTGCGCCTGTCCCAGTCCCCTGGCTCTGGGCTGTCAAGATTATATCTAGACTTATCCTTCAGCGCATCATCATTGAACCGTTAGACGGGTGCACCGACTATTGCTTCCGCATTTGCCTAAGGCAAGCAATCAGCATGGAGATTTGCAAATGTCATTAGCAGCTCGGGATTACGTTTCTGTATTTATTTGTTAGATGATAGGCTCAGCGCAGCTTAATTTTAGAGTGTGCAAAAGTATGTAGTTGTATGTATTTAATCTAAAACTAACATTTAGGCTTTCATTTAGTAGCAGTCTGGAAGTTCTCATTCGCGTCAATAGCCTTCGATCTGGCGGCACGCCCCGTAGCTGTCGCGTCTTTCGCCCCGGGCACAGCGTGCCAGACCATCCCTGAGAAGGGTCTTGGAGTCGCCCAGATCATCGGACAGCAGATCGAAGCTGATGATATCCGTTTCCAGCAAATGCTTCGGCTCCACCTGGGTGGGCTCTTCATCCAGCTGCCAGCTTCGGGCTTCGTTCAGGACATAGGCCGGGGCATCGATGGGCGGATACAGGGCATTGGCCTGGCCACTAAGATCGCTCCGATAGATGGGCACGCTGATGGAGCGTGGGTGGGCTGCCTGGGCGTACTCGCCGCCAGCCAGGCGGTTGGTCTCCAAGTAGGTGTCGCCTCTCAGGGCGCGCGAGTTGCGAAAGTAATGGGATCCGGGCTGATTGTAGCTCTCGAGTAGGTTCGATCCTGCAGCACTGCTTGTGGCTGGCACCGGCGGCAGAGCTTGGATAAGCTCGGGCTCTGCCTCCAGGTGGAAGGGCTTGATCAGCTGCGGCATGTGTATCAGTTGCGGGGGCAACACATCCACCTGTTGGCGCTGCAGACGCTGCGCCTGCTCCGTGTCACTGGCCGAGATGTCCACATGATAGGGCGTGCGTCCCTCAATGAACTCGGGCAGGGCCACCAACGGCTGCGATGGCTGCTGCTCCTGCTGTTGCTGCAGCCTCTGGAGCTGGTTTCTTTGGTAGAAAGACTTCAGCGAGGGGCCTCGTTGTGGGCTCTTGCGTTTGCTGCTCTTGGTCGCTGCTCCACGGCTAAGCAAATCCAGTAGACTAAGGCTCTCCTGCGGTCCCGGTGGGATAAGTAGTATCATGAAGTTCTCCAGGTCGGCCCGGATGTTGTATTGCCCCTCCTGTCGCTGATCGTAAGTGACAGTGCGACGACGCAGTGCCTCATCGTCCCCACTGCCGCCGGCAATCGGCGGTGGCTGCAGTAGAATCGACTGGGACGACTCGGCCGCTTGAGCTGGGGCAATTGCCGGAAATTGCTCTTCCTTGATCAAAGTGCTCTGCTCCACCACACTGGCGGTGGTGGTGGTCGGGGACAGCTTCTCTGTGGTGCTGGAGACTAAGTGGGACGCAGTCGTCGCTGCCCCCAGCAGCAGCAGCAGCGTGAAAGTCTTCCAGATCATATTGGGATGTGGGATGGGTTCCGCCTCACGTTCTTAACTCTCGCGCTTCTGCCTCGCAACTGATTCCACGATCGTCGGGAGCGCTTCGACGTTGTATCGCCGCCAGCGCAGGCGCAACTTTCATATCTGGCTCTGCCGACTTCGCTGCTACTGTGGCTGACTGGCTGGCTTTCTTCTCTCGCTCGATTCTCGATGCCCGATCTCGATCCGATGTTTGCTTTTGTCCATTCCACTTACTTATTCCTTGTTTCTTTTTGTTCTGCCGTGCCCATTTCGGCTGCGTGACTTGGGAGCTCTCTGTTTATTGATATTGCTCAACGGTCAGCCGTTAGCCGATGGTGCGGGCGAGGCGGTGGAGGCGTCTTTCTTGGTTCTCACCGGCCCGGCTCGCACAGTGGGACGTGAATTCAATTTTCACGCCAATTAGCTAATGAGGAAGCATTCCGTTCGAAGCTTCGGCTAATAGCCAAAGCACGTACTCAAGTTGGTCAGTGTCAGCTGAGCAAATGATTCCAAAAACCGAACGTGGGGATTCTGTTAAAACGAGCTTTATGGAAACAACAAATATAGGAGCAGCGTATACATATCATAGCATAGAAAATTAAAATAAATATTTGTAACAGCGCCAAGCTTCAAATAGAAACCCAGAGAGAACGTTCTGGATCATAGGATATCCGCTAGTCCGATGGGCTTTACATATACATATGTATATAATTGCATTTCATTATTGAATGTAGACTATTTGAATCCGATTTGATGGATTTAGCAATTTACATATATACATTTTGTATCCAACAAAATATGCGCATGTCTGGTACGTTTAGGTATCTTCAAAGTGATTAGTTTTGTAAAGAAACTGTCTGCTCATAAAGCTGTCTCGCCAAGGAACCATAAAATACTACTTAAAAACACTGTGATTCATATAAGAAATATGCTTGGTATTCACAACTACTAGGGAACCATGCCTCCCATTCTGGAATTTCAATGATAATCCTTACTCAGATCGACACTCCTATTTGGGTGCATTTCAAAGCAAAATTGCTGGGTACGAAAACCTCTCAAATTGTTAGCTCTGCGATCTGAAATCTAGATAAAAGTCATATTTCACTGCTCATACCGAGCGAGCTCTCAAGCATCTCAAAATACAATTTGGGATTTTAAACATATTGTGTTTTATTTTGTTTACTGTCTTGTTGTTTTACACTCACTGTGATAGAGGGGTGTGGTGTGGTGGGGGCGTAGGTTTCATACCATAAGCGTGCTGTGGCGCTATGGACGACGTCACATTACAGTTGAATGACATTGAGGTTGGTTTTTTAAGAATAATAAATACCTTTGTTTTTCTAAGTAATTAGAGGTCTTTGCGGTTATTTGTTGTTAGAAATAGTACATATTGCTGTGTTGCGTGTGTCTATGTGTACAGTATAGTGTAGTGTATAGCAGAACAATTACAAAATAATGGAACAATGGAAATAAATTAAGCTAGCACATAGAAGTCATTCGATTATGTCTAGTCGAATAAAACAACGCTGAACATATCGGTTACCTATCAGAGGCCAAAGGAAGCGAACCTGGTTTTTAAATTTACATTGAATTCTTTCTTTTTTATGTTTGAAATTAGGTCTTAAGTAGTAGTATACGTGAAATAAAATAATTGTAAATGTCTAACCTAGATGATGTTGTATACTGGTCTGTTCGGTGTTGCGTTAAGGTTTCGATTAGTAGAGTTAATGCACTGGAACTTGTATGGCCTATCAGATATACGTTTACGAGTAACATTTGGGTCAAATCTTATCTGCGGATTACACCACTTGTCATGATTAATAGTTAAGTCCAAATAAAGCTAAAAATGCTGCCCTAAGTGAAGGGAGAGTTGCAATTGTGCGACTTTTGAAAGAGAGCATTACACAAATAATTTCTGAATAAAAGACCAAAACAAGTTCCAACATAAGGATGGATAATACTAGGATCAAGCAAATTTTTAAATTAAATTCTAACTATGAAAAATATACATAATCTCATAAATCGTTTAACTAAACAGCCTCCATGATGAACAGAAGAACATGAAAAAGAACTCTTGACCGAAAACAAAATGAGCAAACAATTTGACATAAGCACGCGCACAAGGAGCCGACAACTAATCCTCCTTCTTGAGTGGTTCCTCAGGTTTCAGATGCAATTCCGGTTCCAGAAGCATCTTCTTCCGTTTCAGGAATTCCTCTTCCGGCAGCCGTTTGTGCACCGTGAAGCAGACGCGATTGAAGTGGTCGCACATTTGGTTGACAACACTGGCCCCGTAGTGCCAATGGGTCAGTGTGGTCACAATCAGCAGTAGGTAGAGCAGCGGCCTCTCCAGCAGCGGTATCCACATGCTCAACAGCAGGGAGAAGGCAAACATGGGTGTCTGCCAGTGCCAGGCCTCGCAGCGCGTCACCGACATTTGCGAGACAATCAAGCGGCACTATAATTAAGAGAGAGTGTGAAAAACAATAAGCAAATGTTTTGGCCTGGATCACATCTAATTATTATAATTATTCTTCAAACAGACTTAAATTTGTGGAATTATTTCGTGTTTTTTTGTCGAGTTTCTTGCAAGGGTTAGGCATTATCGAGTATTGTTAAATTTGTTACTTAGAATCTGTTGAATATATGGATCATTCTCGTGTGGAAAGACGAAGATGCCACGATCACGCTTTAGGTAACGATAGGCGCGATCTTGATACCAGCCATAGATTTGATTTTCGGTCATTGGCTGTGCCGTGGGATGATCTACTTTCTGTGTCAGCACAACGTCCTCGCTGCTGCTTTGTCTCCTGGCGTCAGTCAGTCTGCCAGCTACCTTTAACGACTCCGGATCGAGCTTCTCACGAATTTGGCGAATCTCCTCCGGAGTGCAATTAAAATACGGCCAATCGTGACGAGCGTAGAACTTGAGGGTCAACGGACGCTCATAGTCGGCGGCCGTCGTGTAAATAGTATCCTTAGCTTCATCTCCCTCCATCTGTCCCTGCAGCCCCTCCTTTTGTGCAGCATCATTCGCACATCGCCGACCACCGCAACAAAAGGGCGGCATTGCAAATAGTTTTTGTTTTTTACGTGTTTTTATCGACTTGACGTCGGTATGAATGTCGTTTTGGGGCAATTCGACTGGCTCATTAAAGGCCTGTTACTGCGCTGACAGTAAACACATGGGGCTCCAGTGACTAACAACTAACAACCGATGTTGACACACTCGTCGTTCCTTATCTATATGATTCAGCGCACCCGCGACACAGTTCGATAACAGCCAATGGCAGTAGGTGAAGGGGTGGAATGACTTACGCTGACATTCGAGAAGATGGTGCCGCTGAGCATGAATATGGCTCGAGGATCCGTCTCCATGATGTTGTTGGGTGAGATGTACGGCCAGAGCAGCAGGATGATGAAATATGAGACAAATGGCCACATGGGACGGATTGCTTCCCATGGGGATAACAGGCGGCCTGTGCGTTGGGCATAGGAGCTGTGTAAAACACGGGAATTACTAATTACTAAATGCCTTAAGATCTCTAGGTCTCAAGTCTCACTTGTAAACGTTGATGATGACTAGCGGGAGATTGGCCATGGCACTCACATGGAGTACGGCTTCCATAACATTACCCAACGGCAGGGTTCCGTAGGAGCCCAAGGACAGCTCGAACTTCCAACGCTCGAAACCCAACCACCAGGTGATCAAGTACATTGCAGTGCTGCCCCACATGCTGAGGTCGTAGCCCCAGGGGAGATACAATATACCCGTATTGTACTTCTCCCAATGGGAAACAAAGAAGTTGAAGTAGACCGTCAGGCAGACATAGTACATTCGCATCGGTCGCACGGAATAGACCCTGCTCCGACCGAATATGCTGTAGAGGCATGTGGGTATCAGCATGGCTGTGTACGAGTCGAGGCCATGATCGAAAAGTTCGCCCAGTGGCCCAGACAGGCCGATCCGGCGCGCCTGCTTGCCATCAATCCCGTCCAGAGTGTAGGCGAGGAAGATGTTCACTGCCGTGCACAGCCAGACCCATGATGGTATCGGGGTGGTGTCCTCCTCCCCCGAGCTGGCCTCGAAATTCCAATCATAATAGGAGAGCAGGACCAGATTCATGGCACTAAACAGGAAGCCCAGGAACGTCATTAAATTGGGCGCAAACCAGCGCGGGAAGAACTGAAATAGGCCGACAAGAGGCATTAGTCGATTAAAAATATTGATTTTTTTGTAATCAAGCAATGCCTGTTGGCTACCAACCTTGACGAGCCAATCCCAGAATGGATGCATTACGTACTGGCTCAGAGGGGAGGTGTCTATGGCGCTGTACTGTAAGAAATATGTACATAAGCGTACAGAAATGGTTAATGAGAATGATATTACAATGCTTTCGTATGTTCATCAGGTACACGAACTATAAATAGATGGTCTATAAAGAACTGGTTTTGATCCATCCTTCTTCACATTCTCTACCTACCTTATAGTTGTCGAATCCATTGATTTGCGACCGGCTCAGGTATTTGTAATCCATAATTCTCTTAAATAATTCGTGCATTTTATGGGTTTTGGGTGGCGTGACGCACGTGCAGGCAGGGTAGTACCAAATCGGGAATCTAAACTATTTTAATCTACTCGGAAAACACGCGAGCCAAGACGCTGAGAGAAGCGGCGGAGTGGAGTGGGGTTTGATAATAGCAGCGCCTGATGTTAATTAAATGATTTTTAGCACATTTTTGTAAAGATTTGCACCGTACACCGAGTGAAAATGAATTGAAATAACTATAGCGCAGGCTCCGGTTCAGCTCGCATTTTTATTGTTTTTAAAAATTGTTATTTATTGCAAAAAAAAACTATGCTGCCGCCGGCTGCAGTGTGGCCAGATCGGGCTTATCGATCAAATATACGGTCTGACCCTCAAAAATATACCGCCTCATTTTAAAAATATACCGAAAAATAGCCCATTAAGCCCCCCCTCGATTTAAACAGCTCAACGACTTGAGGTAAATGGCGGAATGTAAT